TAAAATGATTCCCCAGGCAATGAGGCTTACAATCAAACAACACAGGAGCCAGAAGATTTAACAAAAAGAACAATGAAAGTCGCTCTTGATGTTTGCTGGCTTGTATAACAATGATTAGCAAAAGTGTATCCTTCACAACTTCTCCTTTTCTTCTGCTGTTCAATAAAGAAGTGGTCTATTGTTGGATGTCTTTCCCACGAGCGTTAATTCTAAACACCAGTGCAATTAATACTATCCATGGTTCTCCAAAGTGAAAGACATTTAATTGAAATCTTGATGTCATTTATTACTGCTTAACACAAAACAAACTGTGTCTGTATTTAAAACTTAACAAATATAAAAATAATGAGCAACGTAGAGCGTTGGTGGAGGTGGTAACAATGATCATCGTACGTTCTCTTCAATTTTATGTCTAGAAAGTGCGAATCACGACAACCTCAGCCTGGAGGAAAAGTCCACTTAGCGTTTACGTTTACTTCACATCACTTCCGCGATTTCCAGAGTTTCACACACTCTGTCTTTGATTTACAAAGACGCGCAAATGTCTTTGGAACTGTCGAAAGATCATATTTAAAACAGCTGAAAACGAGCAGAAGAGACTCCACAGGGAGTTTCATGTGCTGTAAATAAATTACATTTCATTGATTGTCATCATTGCCATCGCAGTTTAACCTGAAAAGGTTAAAGTATCAGAAAACTGTGCAACTATCCAAACATGAAGGTCCTGAACAGAGACGAGCTGCAGGTCGCTGAAGGAGTTCTGCTCAAACACTTACCGAAGAGTTATAAGGTATCTGCGACATAAACCGCGTGTCTTTGTGCTTTACAGCCTCAGCAGCGCTTAAAGGTGTTTCGTGCTTTCAGGTGTACGGTTTCCTGTACGGAATCAACAGGAACAAACCGACTACACTGGAAGTTGTGGTCGATACGTGGCCTGATTTTAAAGTTATCATCTGCAGACCGAACCCCGAGGTGTGTTTAAATCCCGTCAGAAAACTGTGGATAGCTTTTCAAGACGGAAATCTTTCGCTTGTCACGTGATTGTGACAGCTTTAGTTTATTTCACAGAACAAGCGTGCCCCGAATTTCAAGAAAAAAATGACATACTACAGCACGGATGAACAGAGTTTGAGGAAAATGCTGACAGACGAGAATGCAGTTGATTGGATCACTTATTTCATGATAGGAGGTGAGCTCAGATCACTGCAGAAAATAAGCACGAAATAAATATGGTGGCTTTTACGTCACTACATTTGACAGCTGTTCCTATTTACACAGTTTTATAGACAGAGCACATACTTTGTACAATATTCTAATAAAAAGTTTAATATTTATGTGGACATTTTTCCTGAATTAAATACAAAACTGCTTGGATAACCTCTTGCGAGGAAAAAGAAGAGAAAGAAATTCATGTGAATACTTTCCATTCGACAGGGCTTGATGTTTCCCATGCACCAATGCTTAAACAAGTGTCTTCTGACAGAAGAGTGAACCACAAAGTCTATACTTTGGTGCATCTTCTGTATTTGCCAGACACCAACCATCTCCACATGCCAGTGGTTGACAGGTATAATTTGATAATTAAGATGCACTTTAAGTTATATCTGTGTATAAGTTATGATTTTAAAAACACGTTAAAAAAGACCATCCCGTGTCAGTTGTAAGGTTATACATATCGGCATTTTTTTTAATGGCTGTCTTTAGCGAGTCTTAAAATTAGGTCACACAACATATTACACTGTCATGACCTAACAAAAACTAAGCCATAAAGCAGAAGCTGTGTAATAAGGTTCTGCCACAGCATTTCAGTCAGGTTGAGGTCTGGACTTTGTTCCATCTGTTCTTTTCAGTCATTCTGTGGTAGATTTATTGCTGTGCTTGGGATCATTATCATGTTGGATGACCCATTTTAGGCCAGTCTTTAGCTGTCAGCCAGATGTCGCCACATGTAACACTACAATGCTTTAATATACAGAGGAATATACAGTGGTCTACTCAAAGACTGCAAGGTGCCCCAGTCCTTTGGCTTCCCAGACTAATGGGTTTTAATAATTGCCTCTTTAATATTATTCCTACTTGGCATCGTGTTAACACACACCTTACCAGCAAACTGCTCAAGCTTCTGCCTTTATAGAGGTTTACACACTTTCTTCTGATACTTTGATTATCAACATCTGACTGCTGCTTACCTTCCTCATTCAGTGGAAATAGTAAAACCCAGTATGAAGGCAAAAACACGCCAGTCCACTGTGCTCATTTCACACTTAGCCCTTCCAAAATTTGAAATGTATTAAGTACATTCCAGGGTCATTAATCGTCAGAAACTATTAAGGTAGTCGGCTAGTATGTATTTACATGATGTAAATGTGTTAGTACTGTCTTTTTAAACACTTACTGCAGATTACTGCAACTTACTGTAACTTCTACATGCATGTACATTTCATGGCTTGGAGAGGCAAAGCGACAAATGGACACGGTGGACCGGCATGTTTATTACATGTTTTGCAGCGAGATCAGGTTCAATAGTAATAGTATAGTTCGTTTTTCACATACTGCTTCTGCATTTTGGCTCGGTATTTGTTCAATAAACAACGGCACAGTGTATTATCTTATGTTTTGTTGATCTGTGGTTGTATTTACCTTATTTTAAGCTCTAATCAAGACCAAATGATGTTTATTATGTAGTTATATATAAAATATTAGACTTTAAGGAGACTGTACATTTTTTCACTATGACTGTAAATATGCTTCAGAGCAATGTAAATTATATTGCTTCTCAACAACTTTGGTTTTTCATTCTACAGTGAGCTTGAGTCGAGGATTTCGTCTCTAAACCTTTCCCACGTTGACTTGGTGAATAAAACCTGGAAGTTCGGAGGAGACGAGAAGGGTTACAGGACCATTGAAAACCTAATCAGTAACTTCCCATCATGCTGCATCACAGACAGCCAGGGTCAGCCCGTGTCCTGGATACTTGTGTATGATTACTGTGCTCTGGGAATGTTGTATACGCTGCCAGAGCACAGAG